ATAGAGGAGGGGACTGTGGTGTGGTGCAATGCCTTATGTGGCATGGCTTGACATGTATGAGGAATGGAGAGTGAGGAAATGAGAGTATGAGGGATGATTCATGTTTTCATTTTTTATTTTTAATCTCTGAACGTAGTTCCAGAGGCCCCATACAGACTTCCACCCATCACCCTAAACATGGTTTCTGTGAACTAATGGGGTCACGGCTAAACGGTCGTTTATTTGTCTGTAACACAGGTCACTGCTCCTCAAATAATTCACAGTATGTGACATTTTTTAAGAGGTGACAACCTATAAATGCAAGTCATCATGAAATAAAATTGTTCGGTATTAAAGAAAACAATTGATTCGTGATTACAATCGCATTCTCCCATTTAGTACTTCCTGATCTCTTGTAGTTTAAATCTGGAGATGGCCACATTAATTTACAAGGAATTATTAACTGTTCCCAGTAAACTTAGTATTCCTTTGTTGAAAAACTTAAAACTGGTTCATTTTCGTAGCCACTCTGTCCCAACCTTTTGAAGACCCAGTCCATGATTTGCAGACCTTCATTCCAGTTTGCAGCTACTCTCCCTCTTCTCCCTGTCTCTCTTCTGTTGCCAGCTCCTCAGCCTGCCTTAGCAGCAACTTGCCATCCATATGTAGCTCCTCTCCTCCCACTTTGCAACCTCTCCTCACTCCTTGCTGCCCTTCTCCCCACTTTAGGTCCTCACTCCCCTCTTCAGCTGTTCTGTCCCACCCCACTTTGCAGCTTGTTCTTTGCCCCTCCCCTGTAGCTTGTCTCTTCTCCCTTTACAGTGCTTCAGGCCTTGCTCCTGGGCACCGGGCTCACTCTATAGACCCTTGACCTTCCCCAGGCCCCCATACTCACTCCCCAACTTCGGTATTTGGCCTCACTCCCAGACTTCCCTCCCTGATCACACTAATGTTCCTCCCCATTCTCAGTGGCCTTAATCTCTGGCCGCACTGGTATTTGCTCTTTGGCTTCATCGATCTTGCCTACTGGCCTTGCTCCCCTTCCTGGCAGCTTTGCTACCTATGCCCACCCAGTTTCCTGCAGCCTTCTTGACTGCTGCCACTCTCTCTGCTCCTCCAATTACAGTCCAGTTTTTGCCTGCATTTACAGATGTAAGGTCAATGCTAAGGTTCTCACTCTTTCCTATCATTCTGTTCATGGGCCAACTTTTCTGTGGTCACTCCTGACCCCCCACCCTATGGGTGGATTTTCCCAAACAATTTGGGGGATTCCGAGGGTGGATCCACTCACTATCACTACATATTTTCATGCTGATCTCCCACTTATCTGCCTTTGCTCCATATCCTTTGACATCCATTTCAATCAAAACTCTTACCTATCTTGGTATTGAAAGTGGTTTCTGATTTTCTGATGAAGGGTCTAGGCCCGAAACGTCAGCCTTCCTGCTCCTGTGATGCTGCTTGGCCTGCTGTGTTCATCCAGCTCTACACCTTGTTATCTTGGTATTGAAAGCACCAATTTTCCCAGCGTTAACAGGATTTTGTAGTGAGTTGAGTTTCAGATTTTGCTTTGGAGGTGTTTTGGTGGGGCGTTTATGTGTGTGATGGTGGAAAAGCGGAGGGGACTCATTGGAGGTACATGTTATGAATAAAGTCTGGGATAATTGGAAGGATTGTTGTTTCGTACAACTGCTACTTTACATCATCTTGTCACAAGGAACTCATGGCATAAGGATCTGCTACCTGAGATTGATGTCCAACTAGTGTTAGAATATTCTCTTTCTTTGTGATGGATGTTAGGCAATGTTAGTCAATATTGAGTGTGACCCTCTCAGGGAGAGCATGACTTGTGGCATTGCTAAAATTCACTGCAAATGCAATGTCAGAGCAGAGATGTCCTGCTGAAGCTGTATAAGGCCCTGGTCAGACTGCATTTGGAATATTGTGAGCAATTTTGGGCCTGGTATCAAAGAAAGAATGACCTGGCCTTTGGAGTGGTTCAAGAGGAGGTTTACAAGAATGATTCTGGGGATGAAGGGCTTGTCATATGAAGAGTGGTTGAGGACTCTGGGCCTGTACTCGATGGAGTTTAGAAGTATTGGGGGGGGATCTGATTGAAATTTGTGGAATAATGAGAGGCCTGGATGGAGTGGATGTGGAGAAGATTTTTCCACTAGTCAGAGAGACTTGTACTTGAGGGCACAGCCTCAGAATGAAGAGATACCTATTTAGAACTGAAATGAGTAGGAATTTCTTCAGCCAGGGAGTGGCTAATCTGTGGAATTCATTACCACAGAGGTTTGTGGAGGCCAAGTCATTGAGTGTATTTAAGATAGAAATAGATAGATTCTTGATTGTTAGTGGGTCAAGTGTTAAGGGATGATGGCAGGAGAATGAGGTTGTGGAACATAGCAGTCATGATCTAATGGCAGACTCGATGGTCTTATGGTTGTCTGAATTCAGATAAACCAAGAGCTCACCAGGCTGGTGGGACACTGTGAGCTAATGAACACTGCCTTTGCTCTGCAGCTTCCATTCTGGGAAGTTTGCCCAGAAAGCAACCTTCACAAGTACAAAGGAAATGACTACAGGTGGGATTTCCCTGCTTCCAAAATAAGTCCAAAAGCTGGTCTGTAACAACCACAGAAGCTGGATCCTATTAGGCATTGCTGAATTTAGCAATTAAAAATCTAAGTAACTTGCATCCACACAAATAATATTCCAGCCCCTGTTACAAAATCTTGTTACACAGATTGTTGGACAATAAAGTCTATGGGGAAAAACGCAGGGCTTACCTTGTTTGGAAACCCCTGCCGGGGTCATATGCCAGTTGGATGGCTGATTGGCACCCAGTGGATTTTCTAGTAGAATGATGAATGACCCTGCCCTGCCCACCTAGAACTGCTAGCCAATCAGAAATCTGCAACCCCAGAACTCGGCAGTGGTTTTCCACTGCCTATCACCCAGATAGCTTATCAGTGGCAAGAAGGGCACATGTTATTAGTAAGTGGGATCTGTGTTAGGACCTCACTTATTCACATTATTTGTCAACGACTTGCATTCTTCCAACACCAGAGAGTAGGGTTTGAAGAGAGAGTAGGGGCTTGCTCTCAGATGTCCCCTAAGCCTTCCATCATCCGAAGTCAAGTGCCTCAGTCTTGCACAACTAGTACAAATCCCCACCCTGCCACATCTACCCCAAACTGAGAGCCTCTCCACCCTGGTTTTTCATCAGGCCGTTAGGCCAGCTCTTTCTTGTTCTGCCCAGAGTGGAAGCAGTCACCACCCAGGCAGGTCAAGGCCTTTAAATAGTTGTTAATTGACCATTTAAATGCCTTAATTGGTGGGTGGAGAAGCTTACCAATGGATCTTCCAGCTTGGAACTTAATTTCTCAGGTAGCGGGAAGAGGGTAGACATCTCCCAGTCTTAACTATTTGTCCTTCACGCTACCTTTACCACTTTGAGAGGAGGAAATTCCCCCTCCTATGCCAAATGAAATAAATAAAACTAAGAACTCCAGATATTGGAAAGCTGAAACAAAAATCAAAATTGTTGGAGAAACTCAGCAGGTCTAGCAGCATCTGTGGAGAGTGAAACAAAGTTAATGTTTCAGATCCAATGACCCTTCTTCAGACAACCTGAAACATTAACTCTGCTTTTTCTCCACAGATGCTGCCAGACCCACTGAATTTCTCCAGCAATTTCGATTTCTTTGTGTGCAAATGAAATACATTGATTTATGCCGTTTCTGTAGAAATTAACAAGATTTACATAGACTTTATTGTCCAACAATCAGTATAACAACAAGGTTTTGTAAAAGGGACAAAAATGTTATTTGTGTGGACGCACATTACTTAGGTTTTTTTAATTGTTAAATTCAGCAACGTCTAATAGGATCCAGCTTCTGTAGTTGTTACAGACCAGAAATCCAAATCATATTTGTAGTGTCTGTTTATTACTCTGTACATCTTTTTTGAACTAAAAACAAAGAGCCTAATATCACAGAATAGTATGAAAAGTGTCTTAATATTGTAGAATATAACAAATACGATGACTATTTGAGATACCTAATTATGTTTCATTTACAAAATTTTTATCTTTTATGTTTTCTTTGAAAATGTGCCTTCGAATATTCTGCAGGAGAATAAAGCTACCAACATCTGTCAGTGTCTAAAACAATTGAAGTGATAGTTCATTACTCACCTTTGTATCAGTACTTTACACTCAGAAGATCAAAAACCTCCTTATTGTTTCTACTCACTGGAGGCAGTAATTTTGCATGGTTACATAGCTCCTTGCAAATCTGTTCAACATTTTTTTTGCACTTTAGAAATTGAGAGTGGGGATTTTTACACTTATTTATCAAAAACGTTTGATTACTTGGAAAGTTCAAACATCATCTGCTGTGTTTAACCTTGTCTCAGCATAGTCTACTTCAGTCATATATTATTTGCTGTGTGTTATACAAAGTAATTTATCCAATTATTTTAAATGCTCTTAAATAATTCAGAGAAATTTGACACAAAAACATTAACCAGATCTCTACTAGAGAAAATTAAACACACTCTGTCAGAAAATAAAGCTGCCAGTGCCATTCTTTGAAGTGTGTCATTTCTTCTGAAAGTAATCTAATGCAATATTGAAGATAATTCCAAATTGTAAAGTGATAATAATAATAATAATGAATTGAAAATCCCACCCAGAACCGTTTGATGTTAATGGAGAACCAGCATTTTCCTTAATTTTATCCACACTGAAATTCAAATTTATCAAAATAAGGAGCTATTTGCTTTTTCACAGTCGCACTAAACCAGCAAAATTTTTGCCCTGTGGTAATCTGTTTGTTTGGGATAAGCAATTATAGGGGTAGTTTTTTATTGAAAGGAATTATGCTGGACAAATCTAAAGATAAAAATGAATTCTTAAATTATTAATCATCTTCCTATAGGAAATTTTGTTTCACTCTAGGAGATTTTAATATGTACCAATAATCTTAAATTTCTTCATCTATTCTTCACAGACAGACAATTTTCCCACAGAGCCCAATTACATGGGCAGCAGGCAGCAGTTTGTTCAAAGGTAAGTCCTGTTAAATTTCTTGCTCAGGAATTGCATTTGCATTCCTGTCCGCATTGCTCAGTCACACCAAATTACTGAAAACTGATGTGGTAATGAACAGTGCTGTCTTTTGTTACAGTAGTTCCACGTTCAAAGATCCAGAGAGGGTTAGTTTGAGGGACAGCGGACATGGAGACAGTGACCAAGCCGACAGCGATCAGGATACTAATAAAGGTTCCTGCTGTGACATGTCTGCCAAGGAAGCACTCAAGATAAAATCTACAACAACCAAACCCCCAGTCCCTGAACAAGGTTAGTTAAAGCTGTAATGACTCAAGAGCAAAAAACTCCAGGCGCACAAAATATTTTTGAAGAGAAAATTTGATGTTTCCCTACGTAAAAAATGTGACAGAGACGGATTACTTTTATTATGAGAAGCGGAGAAAGGATCCATTGAAAATAATAATGCTGAGCAGGTGACTTTCTTTATCACCCCTGCTTCAAAACAAAGCTCACTTTGTTCCATTGAATGGTGTTTTAAATTTACAAATTAAAGACATTGGCAGGTAGATTTAGCAAGTTTGCACTTTGATCCTAGACCTTTGTGGGTCCACAGCAGAATTGGAGATTTGGACACAGTAATAATTCAACAACGAAGCACTTTCACAGGGACAGATACCCTGCTAGATGTGCTGACCTCTGTGGCTCAGTACAATGATGCACACTGTCAATTTCCAAAGGGATGTAATGTAGTAAAATCTACCCCTTCTTTCAATGAATCTTGAATTTTAAGTAAGAAGAACTTTGAAGATTTAAAATTGAGCGTGGGGGTTCCTGGACCTAGTTTCGGTTCAGGCGTGTTCCTTCCAGGAAGAGCCAGCAGCAAGACCGGGAGGGAGGATGACACCAAAATTGGCAGAGTTGCAGATAGTGATGAGGATTGTCAAAGGATGCAGTGGGATATAGATAGATTGCCAATTTGGGCAGAGGAATGGCAGGTGGAGTTTAATTTAGACAATTACAAGGTAATGTATTTTGGACGATCAAATTCAGGTGTGAATTATACAATAAATGGCAGAACTCTTAGGAGCACTGACAGATCCAAAGATCCCTGAAAGTGGCAACACAAGTGGATAAGCTGGTCAAGAAGGCATACAACTGGGGGATCGAATATAAAAGGCTGGCAAGTTATTTTATAGCAGTATAAAACTTTAGTTAGGCAACATTTGGAATATTGAGTGCAGTTCTGGTTGCCAGGCTGCCAGAAGAACCTGGATGCTTTTGAGAGGGTTCAGAGAAGATTTACCAGGATGTTGCCTGGTCTGGAGGATTTTAGTCATAAGGAGAGGTTGGGTAAACTCGATTGTTTTCACTGGAAAGACAGAGGCTGAGGGGAAACATGATAGACGTCTACCAAATTATGAGAGGCATAGGTAGGGTGAATAGTCAGAATCTTTTTGCCAGGGCGGAAACGTCAACTACAAGATGATAAAGGTTCAAGGTGAGGGGGGATGTTTAGGAGAGAAGTGTGGGGAACATTTTTCACACAGAGCATGGTGGGTGCCTGGAATCCACTGCCAGTGGAGTTGGTGGAAGTAGGCATGTTAGCAACGTTTAAGGCGTATCTTCATGGACACGTGAATGGGAGGCGAGCAGAGGGACAGAAACCGTGTGTGGGCAATAAGTAGCAGGTCTAAATAAGGACTAGGAATCAGTGCAGGCTTAGAGGGCTGAAGGGCCTGTTCCTATGCTGTATTGTATTCTCCTGCATGTTGCATTTAATAAAGGGGTGGAATAGAAATGAAGCAGTGTTGCGCCCAACCTTTAGTCACAATGTGGGCGGGAATATCCAGTATTGCAAGGCCATGTCCTGCATGCCATGAGTACCTGATGTATATTCAGTGTCACATCAGCATTGACAGTTTAAGGAGAGGTGATGGTGTAGTAGTGACTTCGCTGGACTGGTCATTCAGAATTCTAGTTTAATGTTCTGGAGTGATGCATCCAAATCCCACCATAGCAAATGATGAAATCTGAATTAATAAAGATCTGGATTTAATGCCAGCCAAATGATGACTATGGAAGCACTTTTGATTGTTTGAAAAGGGACATGTGTTTCACTAATGTCCTTTAGGGAAGAAAGCTTCCATCCTTATTGATTTGGTCTACATGTGACTCCAGATCCACAGCAATGTGGTTGACTTTGAACTGCCCCCTGGGCAATTATGGATTGGCAGTAAACTGCGTGCCCACATTCTTTAAAAAGATTATTTAAAAATCAGACTTTTCTGTGTGGTCTGAAACAGATAAGCTGCATACCTGTTTCAAAATTCCTCTCAGAAGTTTGCCTTTTCTGTTCGTATCCAACCGAATAAGTAGCCAATAGCTGGCTGTCAAAGAAAGGTCAATTCTCTTTTGTAACTTACTTTGTCAAGCACATCTGCTCCACAGAATATCGTGGGCTATTCTCTTCCCAGGATCGCAAGCAGTTTTTTCATCTTCCCTCACCCAACTACCCCCCCACCCCCTCACTCTCCCAACTGAGCGATTTTGATTGTATTAAATTGGAATTGTAGAATGTAATTTTACTTTCTTTCTTCTGACCTGTCCTTAGGAATTGATTTGACAGCCTTAATTTTTCAAATAGTCAACAAAATAAAATATAATTCAACACCATTTAAATAAAAAGAACACCCGGGGTAGTAGGATTATTGTAGCAAAACCATGAAAACGAATTTGGAAACAGATATTGTGCCTTCTGTTAAGTGCCAAAGAAGAGTAGGTGTCTTTTGATATTTAACGGGTCACTGAGTACTTTACCGCCCCAATGTTTTAAAGTGGCAGAATTCTCAAAAGAGAAGGTAGGTGGAATCCTCGGGGAAATTGAACAGAATATCCAATAATAAACAGCTTGAGTAAACGTTTTGCAGGTATTTCACTCAGAATAACTGAAGACAACAGCTATCTCTGACTTTGTGAGAGCCCTTGGGCTCTGTAACTCTGAAGTTTTTTTTAAATCAAACACTACAAGTGAAGGAGTCGTGAGCTTTTCACAAGCTAAAATATATTTTTCCCACATGCATATATTAAGTTATGCAGGATAAAGGCTGATATAGAATATTTTGATACTTGATACTGGCAGAACTAAGTACATGTGCTTTGTGTTCTGGCTTATCATCTTTAGAGATTTTCCAAAATTTTCAATATTCTGTCAGGAGTAAATCAAAGAATGATTGTACTTACACAACTTCCGAGTGCAGGCATAGAGGTAATGATCAGGATGCGCAGAACTTGTCTTTCCTATTATGCCTTAGTTTTCATTTTAACTTGAGTTTCTGCAGCCCTAGTTCAGTGTTCATCCTTCATTTATTACAAATGTGTCATGCTCTTAAAGCTCTCTGTCTTTTTAAAAACCAGCTCATTCCAACAAAGTTCTCACTAAAAGTTCCCTAAAGATGTAAAAGAAGCAGACAAAATCAAAAGCAAACACAGACTAAAAAAGAATCAGGAGGATGAAACAGTATAGATTAGAAATAAAACAAACAATCTGTTCGATTGAAATTTCAAAGAAGTGAGCTTCTTAAAGCTTATTTAATGAAAACAAAAGCTAGTTTTAAAGCTGTGGAAATGCACCTCAAGAGGAAACACCTATTTACAATAACGAAAATTTTAAAAATGCATTTTTTCCTATACCTGAGACAAATATAAATCAAATGATACTGTGTTTTGAATTCTCTTTTGATATACATAATCTTAAATACTGCCAGAACTCATCAGCTAACTTGTAATATAGTGCAGTGCATTAATGATGATGAAAATTTTACTGCTCATCACACAGTCACCCAAGGTCCTTTCTATATATTTCAGTAAAAGATTTTAATGAAGAAGCTTTTGAAATTAACTAGTTATCTCTGCTTTGAAGATATTGCTACACATCATTGGTGTTCTGTAGACTCTCACACATTCAACTATATTCTTTAGTCCTGAACCTCTTCACAGCCTTGGCTTAAACATGGACAAAAGAGCTGAATCCAGAGGTGAGGTAAAAGTGAGAGCCCTTGACATCCAGGCCATATTTGATAAGTGTGACATTAAAGAGCCCTAGCAAAACAGGAGTTAGTGGAAATCAGGGGACAATCTCTCCAGTGGTTGCTGTCATACCTGGCAAATAGAAAGGTAGTTGTGGTTGTTGGAGGTCAGTCATCTCAGCTCCAGGACATCTCTGCAGGAGAATCTCAGGATCATGTCCTAGCCCCAGCCACCTTCAGCTGCTTCATCAATGACCTTCCCTCCATTATAAGGTTAGCAGTGGGGATTTTCGCTGATGAATGCCCAATGTTCAGCACCATTCATGACTCCTCAGATACTAATGTAGTCCATGCCCAAATGCAGCAAGATCTGGACAATATCCTGGCTTGGACTGAAAGGTGGCAAGTAACATTTGCGCCACACAAAATGCCAGGCAATGACTAATTTCACTAAGAGACAATCTAACCAATTGCCCCTTGACATTCAATAGCATTACCATCATTGAATAACCCACCAACAGCATTCTGGGGATTACCATTGACCAGTAACTCAAGTGGACTCATTACATAAGCACAGTGACTGCAACAGCAGGTTAGATGTTAGTAGCAACTCACTTCCTGATTCCCTAAAGTCTGTCCATCAGCTACAAGGCACAATTTAGGGAAGTTTGCAGCTCCAACAACACTCAAGAAGCTATACAACACCCAGGACAAAGCAGCCTGCTTGATTGGCACATCCCCAAGCATCCACTCCATCCACCATTGAAACTCAGTAGCAGAATTCAAGATGCACTGCAAGAATTCACCAAAAAACTCTCACACAGCACCTTCCAAACCCATGACCAGTGCCATCTCGAAGGACAAGGGCAGCAGATACATGGGAACGCCACCACCTGCAAGTTTCCTTCCAAGCCACTCACCATCCTGACTTGAAAATATATCACTGTTCCTTCACTGTTGCTGGGTCAAAATCCTGGAATTCCCCCTTTAATGTCATTGTGGGTCTATGTACAGCACATGGACTGCAGCAGTTCAAGAAGGCAGCTCACCACCACCTTCTCAAGGGGCAACTAGGGATGGGCAATAAATGCTGGCCAGCCAGTGACACCCATGTCCCATGAGTGAATAAAAAGGAAAAATCAATATAAAAATTGTAAGATCTTATTACTGTTTAATTGGGCTGGATTGTATGAAGGTTGGCTGTCTGCAGTCCATGATTTTTTTGGCCATCTCAACCTGCTTTTAACATATTGGGTGGTGATCCTTTAATGAGGATGAGTATGA